TAAATTATAATAAATTCAACAAATACTTTACCAATCAATTATTTAATAATTACAGAGAACCTACCTCTTTCTCATCATTCACAATTTCATCATATGTCGGAATCCTGTAAAGCAACATTGATAAGGAATTGATGTTAATATTGCAGTAGAAGACAGACAGACAGACAGACAGACAGACAGACAGACAGACAGACAGACAGACAGACAGACAGACAGACAGACAGACAGACCAACTTGACCTTATGTCATCTTTATCCTTGTATCCTTGGTCAAGAATGTAATTTTTCAAAAACTGCTCATCTTCATCAAGGCTGGGATCATTCCAATATCTCTGAAGAGCATCCTGGAAGAACAAACTCTTGTTATATGTCTTATAATAATGATGATGATGATGATGAAAATAGTGATGATGAAATCTTTATTAACATCTCAATCGCTCTACCCAGACAACAAGTGTTAATGACAATAGGATTTGATAACTGTATAAGTGAGAAATAAGTGAATATCACTTACCAAGTCTTTATCTTTTGACTCTTTTTTTACACCTTTCAGCCATTGTTTGTATTCATCATCTTCCTTTTTCTGTGAAACAACTTCTAATCAATAAATTGAAATGATCCCCTCCCTTCTCTCTTCTCATATTCCTCAATGTTATTTTCGTTTCTTCCCCTCCATCCACCATTTCAACAATCTGTCTGGAATCCATGCATTGATACAGGGTTCCCAATTTCAATGATCCATCAAGCCATTAAAGTCATCCATGTAGCCATAGTTATCAAACATAAACTGAAAAAATATGGATTATTTTGCATGATAATATTACCTTCTCTTGCTCTGTTTTCTTTCTAACACTAAGAAAGTCATCTTCATCATCACTTTTTTCCATAACAGCTTTCTTAAAACTGAAATTATTTGAACAGTTAACTTTACTTTATCAATAAATTGTCAATATACGGCTGTTTCATGTATACCTTTCTTGAAGGACCTTTTGTTCTTCATTATAAGTAAGATCCTGCTTATTCTAAGCATTTAAAACATTATTAAAATAGTTAATAATATATATTATGATAATGATCATGTGTGGGGGTTTCTCCTATCATAATAAATCCATCTATATTATAACATCTTTATCATTGACTATATATATCATTGTCATCTTACCTTGTATGTGTTATCTTCACTTTCATCATCACTCACAAATGCTTTGCTGCAAATTAAAGACATTGCCGTAATCTATCATTTGTTCACTGACAAATTATTATTATCAAGTGTGATGCATCACAAATTTATTTTACTGTTTTTATAATTTTTCATTTAGTTTCTCTTCTGACCATTTGATTATTATGAATGTTTCTTATACATGTATATATATTCTTAGCAATGACTGGATTCATTCAGTCTTTATGTACAACATACATAATTAATCCTAACCTTCCTTTTTCAATAAGTTGTTGTCTTTCATAGTCTTTCAAATAAACTGGTTTAGCAGGTTTCTTCTCAGTTTCGTCACTTTCAGAGGAACTCTCTATGGAATTGAATATGTAAATGAGGAAAGGACTGTGCTCAACCACAGGTAGCCCAAGCTATTATTTTACATGTAACCCTGTTACCTATGCATGCATGAATGGATAGTTGAACAAAAAAATGAATGAACAAACAGAATGATTATGTTGGTTATTGATTTAAAAATGAAATGCAAAATAACAAATAATGAAAAACTGACCACTCTCATAGAAGTGTGCATTTTTGTCGTAGATCTTTGGATCTTTTTCCTTTAGCAGCGACAAAACAGTTAGGAACTCTTTTTCTTTTTGTGATGTGACTTCCTATAAAGTAGTTTTTAAGCTTACTTTGTGAATTAAGCTTACAGTACAACATCATGCACGTGCTATGTGTAATTAAACGTAAACATCTCCATTTCGGAGCAAAATAAAAAGAGATGGTCGCTAGAATAGGTATCACATATATCAAAGTCATCACACATGTCATCAATACAACAACATACCTTGGCATCTTCGTCCTCTGTCTCTGAAGAGCTTGAATCTGAGTCTGACTTAACATCGCCATACTTTGCTTTTACTGTTTAAAATYCAACAAAAATATCAATKCTATAAACTTATATTTATCACGATTCACGACTAGCTAAATACTTACAATGTTCGAGCTCTGCTCGTCGCTTGTTCTTCTCAAATTTCTTCGCAAAATCTTTGTTTATTGAAAACGTGAATTCTTTCTTCTCGTCCGCCATGTTGGATTATAAAGTGCGAGGGGAGCTGGGTACTAGAAGTATCAGTATTCAAGATGGCAGACGAATGTTGTACCGGCATTTACATTTAATTTTTTAAGTTTGCTCGCGAACATTAATAGATCTAGGTTTTTAAATGAGCTACTTATGCAGCTGATGTTTTTTTTATGAGCATCGTCAGAAACAAGTGACATAATGAGACGAAGGATATTTTTGTTTTGCCTCTTGCTCGTCCAATTAGCAGGGCTTTCCCTTTTTCTAAAAGGGTTCTTTCCTGTAAAAAAGGCTCTTTCAGGCTCAGCATCTTCAAATAATCTTCCTCCAGAGCCAGGAAGTACAGATAAAGGATATGGTGTTCCAGCTGTTTTTGATAGATTGGTGTTTGTGTTGGTAGATGCGCTGAAAGCTGACTTTATTTTTAATGACACAAGAATGGTATACACGAAAGGCCTTATCGACAAGAACGACAGTATTAGGCAAGTATTAAGATTTCTAATTTGCATGATAAATGAATTAATTATAGACTTATAAGCTCCATTGTAAAATTTGACATATAAAGTTTTAAAATGATTATACAAACAAAGTTAGTGCCCAACCCAAACTACCTGCATAAGCGTAGACATGTAATGATCATTAATGAACCATTATTTTATTTACTGATGTGATTCTTGAATTCAAATATTCATTATTGAGTTTATTAGTAAACTTTTCAAATTGTGGAGCTATCGCCCATCTTGCATCTTATTTATAATATATCTTGTTAGTTTTTGCATTTTTAAATATTTTTGATTAATAATGAAATATAGAATTCATTAATGATCACTACGTGTTCATGATTAACGTAGTTTAACTGTAGGCTTTTTTCAGTTTTACTTTTTGCTTTATCTACTCAATAATTTTCTTTTTGTAGCATTAAATGTCATGTTTATGGAAAAGCTCTCAGTGCAGATTATTATTTTTCTATAATGTGATAATGATATTGTTGATCTCATTCTTTTTCAGTGTTATTGCCCTAGCTCACTCACCTACTGTCACAATGCCGAGGATTAAAGCAYTMATGACAGGTGGTATTCCAAGCTTTATTGATTTCCTATTCAACTCGGTATCTACTGCCCTCAAGGAAGATAATCTAGTGACCCAGATGTTTACAGCAGGAAAGAAGATTGTGTTCTTTGGTGATGATACTTGGTTGAAGCTATTTCCTGGACATTTCTGGAGGAAAGATGGTACTACTTCCTTCTTTGTCACTGATTATACAGAGGTATGCAGTTGATAGCACAATGTTGTCATAGAATTAATCTGTTTAGCTGACCATTTCAAAATGAAAAATGAGGTTTTTTAGAAATGAAACGTCCTAATAATATTCTCCTCTGCTATTATTTCGTTTGTTGGGCTTCCTGTTTTTCTATAGGTACAGGTACAAAAGAAAAGAGTATATTCTGATACTGAGACATTTTCAGGTTGACAACAATGTAACAAGACACCTTGAGAAGGAACTTCAAAGTACTGATTGGGACATTATGGTCCTACATTACCTAGGGTTAGATCATATAGGACATCTTGCTGGGCCCAGTAGTCCMTTAGTGGGCCCTAARCTACAAGAAATGGACTATATCATCCAAAAGATCCACAGAAATCTATTAAAGAATGATAATGAAAGAGGAAGTAAATCGTTGCTTGTGATTTGTGGTGACCATGGRATGAGTGACTCRGGRAGTCATGGAGGGGCTTCTCTTCCTGAAACACTCACACCATTTGTCCTTCTTGGTTCTCGTTTTCAAAATGGACAAGGTGAGCAAAATGTTTACTTGATTTTCTTGAAATTGATAGTTTAATTTAACAATTCTCATCAACTAATGCATCAAGTCAGTAAACTAGACTCTAGTGTCATTTCTCATGAAAAGAAAATATTGCTGTTTCTTTAGGGTTGAAGTTTTCTGAGATGATGGTTGATCAAATCGATGTTGCATCTACCTTGGCTACCATTCTTGGTTTACCAATACCACAAAATAGGTAAGAATGAAAATATATCCTTCTAAACTACCTTTTTGCTTACACTCCTGACCAAACAACCAACCAATCAACCTCAAACCAAACAACCAATCTACCCCAAAATAGATCTACCAAACAACACACAAGCAGTTTTTAATTTTTGCATTTCAGTGTTGGTCATGTCATCCCAGACCTTCTGATGCTCTACAGTCCAAGAGACAAACTAAGAGCTTTACAACTCAATGCAAAGCAGCTGACAAAAGTTCTTCAAGCCAATGGACATCAACCTGAATCAAACTGGGAATTAGAAGAAGCATATCGKCTGCATCAACGCTGGCTTGAATCACTGAAAGCCAACAAACAAGACCAGAATRCTCTAACAATACAATCAGAGCAAGTTGTCAAGCAGTACATGAAAGCAATTACTGGCATGARTGATCAGATYACTGCCTCACTKTCATGCTACGACTTACATGCAATGGTTTCTGGGATAGCAAYATTGGTGCAGGTTTTGGGTTGGTTGGTYAGTATAGGGTTTCGTGGTAGTGAAGAATCCAGGAAAATATTCTCAATTGGYGATTYAATTCCATCAGCTTCTTSGTTATTCATGTTTGGAGCTTGTTTAATGGTTACAGTTGCAATTCATTTGTCTATTTGCTCAAGCACTTTGGCAACAGGTAAGGTCATCAACTTCTTGACTGTCAATGGTCGCAATTAGACCGTACTAAGGTGTATCAGACTATTATTGTCTATTTCACGTTTTGTGACCTCACTCTAACCCTTTTGATCTGAAAGACAAACTGTTACTGCCTTATATTCTCATATGCCATCAAAGACTGATTTAAACAAAAGTTCTTTGTCAAAGTAACCCTGAGAAATTCATCGTTTTTTTTTTTTGTTTGTTTTTTTTCTAGGTACATGCAGCAGCGATATCTTGTGCTCTAAGCAGTCATCATCAGTCATCTTTTCGCTGATCCTCATTATTTTCAGTAGTTTATCATTATCCTCTGTTAGCATTAACACAATTCCTTCGTCCCTCTGTAAAATTGTCCGGCAATCAGGCTCAATTATATGCTGCCCTATCAARAGTCTTCTRGTTKTTGGAACGAGTCTTCACATTTTTAGTTTGATGTCAAGTAGTTTTGTAGAAGAGGAGCATCAAACATGGTACTTCCTCATAAAAACGTATTTTATTGTCAGTTTTTGCGTCTCTATAAAGCGCTGTCTATACCAGAGAAAACCTATTCCTGCAAATCAAAGAGAACTAACTGTTGACTACCAAGATGAAATCAAGAATTGTTCCACAGAACAGTTGMTGGAAAATCGTTTTAATGTGCATTCATTTAACAACTTTGCGCGACAAGCTGAAAGCTTCATTGAAGAAAAGAATATGAAAAGCTGTGTTTTGCAAGAAAAGCCTGGGGCTTCAGAYTGCGAAAATGAAACACTAGTTTCGTTGCTAGGGCCGTTGTTTTGTCTTGTTCTTGTCCGTATATCACGAACCTGGAATCAAACTGGAATTAAATGGKCCCACCTTCCTGACGTGGGTGATTGGTTAACGCTGCCAGAAAATCAACTTATKTTGTCTCTTGTCTCRATAGCTTCACTTTGTGTGATRCTTTTTTGTACCTTCAAACGAACTGACTTTATTACYTCARTAATCCAGTCTGTTGGTTTGATGTTTGTTTACAACTACCGCGTTGCTACGGGAACAGTTTGGTTACCATGGACAACTAGTAAACCAAACACTCTTGGACTGACTGAGGCTAGAATGGCTTATGGATGCTCATTCGTTTTGCTGGTAATTTCTGTCATTAGGTTCTTAAGAACTCTGAGATTCAAGAGCAKTTCTGAAGACTATTTTGTCATGTATAARTCCAAGCTGGAGGAAGCAGTGAAGACATTCTTTGCTGGTTTTGTTGTCGTTGTGGCTTTGGTTACTCGCGCGCATAGTTTCTTTGTACTTGCAGTGTTTGTAGTACAACAATGCTGTTTAGAGAGGTTTTTATCGTCGAGGTAATTTGTTCAATTAGTGCATGATGATACAATAATGGTAATTAAGGTTATGACCATGGGCGATGATGATGATGATGATTACAGATGATAATATTGATGATTATTGATGGAAATAGAAGAGCATGCGTAGCAGGGTCCCTGATTCCCGGATAATTGTATGAAAAATAAAACGGTATACTTTCTTTTCCAGCAAAGCCAATGCGAATTCCTGGACAACCTACCTGGTCTACTTCTGGTTTGGTCATGTAGCATACTTTACTCTGGGCAAATCAAACAGTTTGACTACAGTAGACTTGGCTGCTGCCTACATAGGACTGCAGGCGCACGATGACGTAGCTGTGACGTGTCTCTTGATTATTAGTACGTATTCTGGACCTCTTCTATGGATGGCAGCGCTACTTCATCGCGTAGTAAAGGATTCGACATCGCAAAAACAGTAAGTATCATAGCATGTATGGAAAAGGATGCTTCCATGTGGGATGGGTGCAGAAATCGTATTAGAGCATGCGTTATAGGTCATTTACAAACTGTTTGGTTTGTGAAGTGTTAGAGCGGATTTCGTATGAGTGGGACACCGTTACCGCACGGTTACCKCACAGTTACCGCACCTGGCCTGCACAATTTTGGTGAACCAATGAGACACTAGAATTTGGTAACAGTACGATTACGGTCACAGTACAGTACCGTCCGTTTCCCACTCATACGAAATCCGCTCTAAGGCCGATTTAGACAACACAACTTTTCCCTACAACTATCGCATGCGACCTGCGTAAGTCATCCTTACAACATGGCTACAACTGTCGTGAGGTTATTAAGCAATTGTTTAAAATCCCTACGTCGTCTAAATCGGCCTTTAGGATCAAGAATCAAAGCTTGTTCGATGATTCATGAGATTGTACTGTTCTCTCCTGGTGAACTAATCTTCTCAGTAGTACCTAGTCTGCGCCAACTTTATGTGCTTAATCTCGTGCTGAAAATAAATGAGTGAGCCGGAAATGGTGGGAAGGTGGTACTCCCACTAGGGTGTATGGTCAGAATATGGTCAAGGTCACGTATGAACTATGATTAAACATTGAAAATATATTCTAGACATGGTTTTATCACAAGCTAGATAAAATCATCGCGATAAATATAACAACTAATTCGACTAGTGGATGTCAGACTACTCAAAGCATATAGTAGGGAATATGATGATGATGATGATGATGATGATGCTGTTATTTTTCGTGAAATTAACTGAGATTAAGGTTTAGTCAAAACTTCATATAAATAGAAAAGAAAACCTAAAATTGTTTAATTCGTCTCCACATTTTATTTTAACATAGTTGTCCATACACGGAATAGTGATCCTTCAGTCCAGATTTCAGGTCTTCTATTGGATAAACACTAGAAAATTCTTCACGAGAAAAGTTGGAAGAAAATAAATCAAAATTAATGTTTTTAAGACCGGCATCCTTCATACTCTCCAATATCCATTCTTTCATCAAAGGAAAAGAATAAAACAGCTTATCTCCGACCTTGTAGAATCTTTCTTTCACTACTCCATGCATGACTAGATAACCACCTGGGCGAAGTAGTCCAGCAAGATATGCTATTTGATTTCTATATTCTTTCTCGCTTTCGACTGCAGCTTCAATGCAAAAACAGGTCATAACGATGTCAAATGGCGGGCCGTACTTGGCAGAGATTTCACTTGGAATTTCTAGATGATTTTCTGCTTTAACATCGCAATGTACAACTGCTTTGATCTTCTCTCGGACCTCTGCTTCACGTTTCTCAACTTCATCTGGTGTCATGCCTTCCAGCTTCTGCACCACGTATTCAAAAGTCGGTCTCCAGTTGAATGCTTTTGGGTCTTGATTGATCCAGTCTTCCATGGCCTGTCGATTTGCTGGTAGATATTCAGCAGCTATGATACTTTGAACATGTTTAGCTGCATTGATTAATCTCGACACGACCGGTCCAGTACCATATTCGAGCATATTTGTGAACTTTCTGCCATCCTTTGCAATCTGTATCCAGAAATCAGTGAGTCTACGGAGAACGAATGCGTCTTTTTGGGGCTGGTCGAAACAGTTAAGTAAGTAGACCATGGGGTCGAAAAAAGTCTGGTAGTCTTTAGTAGTTTCTACAGCCATTTTCTTAGTCGTCAGTTGTGTAACAATTGT